GTCAAGTTTGATATCCATTCTCTGGTAAGGGAATAGAGTGAATAGACATCACTTAATGTAATATCCTTTAATGTTTCTAGGGTCAAGTTTCTGGGACTAGTAGTTAAGTCCATGTAAGCCAGTCTGAGCTGATTTGGGTGTTGGGCACTAACTTCCTGTTTTAAGACAGTTAGATTATTTTTTAGCTTAATTCTTCTCCATTTCCTGAGCTCATACTGCCTAACTGTAGATTAAACCTTCCCAGTAAATGTATCTCCCTGTAACCTGCTGGAACTACTTGAGAAGTGTGGTGGAGTCGTTCACTGTGAGCACTGTGAATTAAAGTGCTGCTGCTTGAACACTCAGCAGTTTGTTTACTGGCATATCCTTTCACATTAAATTGAAATTCAGTGATGACTTTTTTTAGTGCTTTTAAAGGTTACACACTTTTTTCAAATGAACTCCAATAGAAAGATATTATGTAGTATTTTTAAGTATGTGTTAGTAACATCTTCTGCTGGAGATATAATGAAGATGTGCTTCTTTGTTCCAGAGCAGAATTTTTAAGCTATACAGCAGTATGTGTTACGCACAGACAGTATATTTGCTTATGTCAGCTAACCTCACAAGAGGAATAATAGCTTCTGCTATCAGTAACTTTTTTGTGAGTTGGAAACCTTCTATTCTTAAAGCAATGGAGGTAGAATAAAATATTTTTGTCCTATTTAGAGTTCTGGAAAGCTCTGTCTTTATACACTCAATGGGACAGACTGTTTCTAATTACAAATTAAATTTACTCTTTAGATTACTTGGAACATCACTTAACTTAGAACAGTACTCAAGTTATCTTTGAGGGCTTTTATTTTAGAGGGTCTATGCCTAGAACTGCATCTACTTGAACAATTATTGTGCGCTTGTAGAAGGTGTGTTGCCTTAAAACCCAGTGGAAGTATTTGACCTGGAGAAGAGAAGGCTGCTGGGGGACCAAATAGCAGCCTCTATGAGGAGGTTATCAAGAAGGTGGAGCCAGGCTTTTCACAGTGGTGAGACAACTGGCATAAATTGAAATAAGAGGTTCAGACTGGATACAAGGAAGAACCTTTCCACTGTGAAGATAGTTAAGCAGTGGAACAAGTTGGTTGCCCGGAGAGGTTGTGCCATTTCCATCCTTGGAGGTTTTCCAGACCTGACTGATAAAGCCCTGAGCAGCCTGGTCTGACCTCATATCTGGCCCTACTTTAGGTAGGAGGTTGGCCTGGAGACCACCTGAGGTATCTTCCAACCTGAATTACTCTGATGTGTGTGGTATACTGTCATCTACTGCAAAGCACTGTTACTAGAACTGTTCCCAGTTATGAAGGTCATCTGAGACAAGAGGTAGGATAGCAGGCCCTGTAGGGAGAAAGAAGGATTTCCCTTGCTGTATGTAGGTGGTTACTGTGGGATCAGAAGCAAGTTAAAGTAAGGTGGAATCAAGTGTGGAAAACACCATGTGGACCTGCTAGTGAATTACAGCAACTGCAGATAGTGTAGTTAAGAGTTCTGATCCACTCTCCAACTTGACTAACGCTGGCTGAAGTCACTGTGGTGTGAGAGTTTCAGATGACATTGGGACAGACTGGTAGCATGACTGTACCTCATCATGTTAGGAAACCTGTCACAGTTTGGGAGTATGACACACTCCATGATTCATTCTCCCTGTAACTCTATCATCCTCTGTATACCCTCTGCCATGCAAAATACGAGAAAAACTCACATAATGCAGCTGCTTCTGCAAAGCTAATGTGCTCCCTAGAACCTGCAACAAATGAAAAGGGTTTCCTTATCAACAATGATAGTCATCACAGATGTACATAAATATCTTAAATCAAGCCAATTTTTTGCTTACTTTTACTGTTGTCCAATTCAGAGCAGCCTGTTGCTTGCCTCTACTTACTTTGTTTTCTCTGCACATTGGTATCACACCCTTTTCAAAACTATTTTCACCTATCCATCTGTCAAAGATTTCCCTTTTGTATCTTTAAACTGATCATCTTGAAGTTCTAATTTCTTTGAGTGTATTTATGTACTTCTTCCATCACTTCACTTTGTGGATCTTTTTCTAATCTTTACTACCTTGTTTGGAAGACTGAGTTCTGGGAGCCTTAAGCTGAAGTATTTAAAATATTTTTATGTAAATCAGGTAGTATGTGGAGCTTGTTTTAATCATGAAGAGCTCAAAAATTCATCTGAGCCACTCTGTTGGTTGCCTGTTCTCTTTCTAAAGCTACATTCAGTAGTAGGAGGAAAAATAAATTACTTATAGATTACGATTGTGCCTCAGTTTTGTTAAGTTGACAGAATTATGTGCTTTCAGACTGTCATCCAGTTATTTTTGACCACTACCCAGGGTTTTTCCAGTTCAAGGTATTGAAATACTGGAGAAGATTCTGTGGTACATTTTCTGTTACTTATGCCACTAACTTCTGAATTTTTCCCCTCTGAGAAATGGGCAAATCGGAAAGTGAAAGGCAGTAATATGGAATTACCTCATCACTGTTTCTTCAGTACTACGCCTTGAACTTAATGCCATTTCTGAAAGTGGAGTTCAGTTGATGCAACTGAAATTTCTCTTCTCATTGTCCCAAGGGGAATGCTGTCTGCTAGCTAGCTGCAGTGACATCTCTTCTAACACATCCTGAAAGAAAGTGATGGGATTTCTGTTTTGCTCCACAGTAACTGTACTTCTGTTATTTGTAATCATGGATACTTTATTCCATCTTTGCTCTTCCAAATCTGCAGTTATCTCAGGTTTCAGCTGGTGGGGAGGAAGGGAGTTATCTGGTCACTTTTATGCCATTATGCTTCTATATTTTAATAGATAGTGCTGCTTCAGACAAATTTAATCTAATGAGCATGAGGTGAAGATGTGTCTAGGGAGTTGGCCACGTCTTTCAATATATCTGGTTCTCCAAACTGCCTTGAAAATGTCACTTTAAGGAAGAATTTTCTGGAGCCTTAGCATGTACTTATACATCCCAAAGATTTCGAACTGTCCATATTGACTATAAAAATGAAAGCTATTTTATTCTGTCACTGAAGCGATACTAATGGTGTATATTTTTTGAATTCACCCCACATCCTTTTCTCCACATTCACTTACATATGTGTTAATTTATAGTGTTAATTTTTTTAACACAGCTACTTAGTATTGAAAAAATCTTTTCCAGTGAAGTCCAGTTCATAAAATCATACTCAATTGTGTGGGTCATGTGAGTACTAGAAGTACTAACAGGAGCTCCTGATCTAATATATTAACTTCTTGTATAGAAAGTTATTTACTGCCATAAACATTTGGCCTGTATGATCCTTTTAAAGTGATGGTCACTGCATCCTTGCAAGACTGTTGTATTAAGCAAAAGGCAGCCTGCCTGAAGAACCCTATTATCAGTTGATATTATGTCATTGTACCACATTGTCTTTTTTGTATTATATTGAACATTTTCAAAAATAGAACTATTAGTTATTTTTGTCCTACCGTCAGTTGTAACTGACCATTATTGTCCAGGGTTTAAATTTATAGGGCCTTAACAAATATAAAAGGAGAAATTCTTTTTTTGTCCTGAATAGTTATTGTTCTTTCTCTCTCTCTGTGCAAATTGGAAAGGCCTTTAAATGGAGCAACAATGATTACTATAGTATGAAAAATCGGTTCTGAGAGGCTAAATGGCCTCTGTGGGTTGAATTCATCCGTAAGATTAGCTGAGAAGAAATTCTAAAAAATTATGAAATTCTAAAACATTTTTATCAACGCTGTCCAGTTCTCTTTTAAATCTTAGAGAATGTGTAGATAGCTGTCTAGTGACTTAAATGTAGCTGCTGTAGGAATAAAATAAATATCAGATAATACCAGGCAGTCTGGTGTCCAAGAATGTATTAGAATTAATGTAAAATGTAATCACTGTACTCTGCAAACTGAGACTTGTGATGAGGTTTTTGGGAGGAAATATCTTTTTTTTTTCCGATAGTTTTGCTTTGCCGAAATGGCAGGTGGTGTGTGCATTACCAAACAAAAAAACAAAACAAAAACCTGTTTGGGGCTTCAGTTCTTGAATGGTATGACTGTGGTCCGGGCCTGTCACTTACACATGCTAGCAGAGAATAATTTGCATTGCATATTTAAAAAAAAAAAAAATCAAGAAGATGGAATATATTTGTTTTGGCTAGTTGTTGTACTGTTGGGTATGGTTATGCTGCTATGGGCTTTGAACTTGTCACCAAAGACTGAAAGGATTTGATCCTGGTTGGTATGTTCAGTGAGAAACTTCATAGACAAATGGGCATCTTGCAAATTCCAGTTGCAGCTTTTCCTTTGTAGTGTTATGCACAACTAATTTTTTAAATTTAACTTTCTTTTTAAAGACTTTAACTTTACTTTTAAAGATATAGAGCATATTGCATTAAAAAAACCCTATAATTCCAAATGTAAGTTGAGACTTTCTGATTTTGTGACTCTCATTTGATGAGATTTCTATAGCAGCTTTCTTCACTTTTTTTTGAATATATTATATAGATCTTTAGTTTTATTCTCTCATGGCTTTAATTTAGTGATGCATGCATTTGATAAATGTTCCCTTGGATAGCCTTTCATGGTCACAGTGTTTGCCTGTTTGCCTCATTCTACCAAGAGAAACGCGGAGTTGGTGGAGAATTAAGTTACTTTGATTTTATATTTTTAGTTTTCCGGTTGTTTATGCAGGGTAGAGTCCCAACTTAGTGACTGACTGATTCACACTACAGAAATTTAAAATAATCTTTCATAAAATGAAATAGGTAATGCACTCAGTTGGGGAAACCAGAAAATGTAATTAGTCCATGGTAAATTTACTACTCGACCATGTCTCCGCTAATGGACCAGAATTGCATAGCCTTTCTGTGCTTTAAAATCAGCATATTACAGCTCAGGGATGCCTGCTCAAAATGTTTGCATTGCATTGCTGTAGCACTTTACTTGTATTTAACAAAGCTTTTTCTTTCAAAAGGCGTCTGAACAGAAATAACCTTCAGTTGCTTTCTGAACTGCTCTTTCTGGGGACACCGAAGTTATACAGGCTGTAAGTACGCACAACCTATAAGTATTATTCTTGAAAATTTGGACTTGCTCTGTTATTCCGTCTTGTATTAGGTTTTTGTTTTGCATTTAACAAGGCTAAAATGCATCTAGGAATATTAATGATCTTTTTTGTTTGTTTAAGCTGAGTACTTTCTTCACCTATTTTGCTAGATTTAAAAAGGGAAAAAAAAAAATTCTAGCTTAGATGCTGACACTTGACTGAGACAAAACATTGTTTCATCGGTTCCTGCTTCTGTAAATGAAGTCTTGTTGAAAGAATATTTCAGCTTTGCTTTTCTCCTGTTTTCCTTCTCCTGTGTTAAAAGACATAAAGACTTTGGAGGTTCTGACCCAATGATATGGCACTGTACAAGAACTTGGGTTTTTTGATGCCCTGTTTTTGTATATGTACACATTGGACTGGAAAAATCATAGCATTGGTAAATGGTGGGCTGTGAGTTCTCTCCTGGGTTGCCTTGCAAAGCAAACAAAGGCAGTAACGAAAACTCTGGGAAGAAAAAGATTATGAAATACTTTCTTCAACTTGAGAAGAGGTTTTTACTTAAGGTAATGAGGTTTAGTTTTGATTCTCTTTGGTCTGATAACATTTACATTTTTTTAATGTGTTGACCCATTGGTCATTTTTGAGAATCTACTTATTTCTGTTGCAGCATAAACATGGACTGTAGTTCAGATACTGATTTCAGTTAATTATTTATCTACATGCTCACTTATTGTAATGAAATAAATTTCAAGGTAACTTTCAGTTATAGCCTATGGCATGAAAGGGACACAACTTGATATGCTTAAAAAGGCTTTGAAAAGGAAGTATGAATTCAGGCATTTTAAAAAATTAAAGATACATACATATATGTTTGACAGTTCTTTAGTCTTCAGGTGAGATTTCTGCTATCGAAATTGAATTTAAATAGCTAGAGCAGTCTGAATAAACAAGTAGACCATTTTGTATCTCTTAATCGCTGAATAAATTGATTTGATTTTACTGACTTTACCCCATGTGTACTGGGAAAATGAGTGAAGGTGGAAGAAGATGGGTTTCCTCTGATTCATTTCTACTTCAATATATGGAAATGTTCTTGAGAAAAAGTTTTATAATGGAGCTTTTATTTTTAGGAGTTGATTTCTCTTTTAATATTACAAAATAATAGTTCTTTTTTTTTCTCTGCTAGTAATATGAAATGGTAAACTGAAAATGACTCTATTATTGGTGTAAATGTTTAGTTCTTTGTATTTTTTTTCTTGGCTTCTGATGTGTTTTTTGTTTCTAAAACTTCCTTGTAGATGCAATGAGTTGTTAAATTACTAGGCCAGAGTTCCTGAAGGCTTTTGTTCTGACAACAAAAATATTTTTGCTCTGCTATAATATAATGATACATACATACGTAGCTTTATATATTAACAACTCAATCTTTTCTATAATTTTCATCAGCAATCATGGAGATACTACTATCAGGAAGGAAAATGGAAGGGATTTATGATAATTTTATTATTGCACCTATACTGTCATGGTTGTTATCTAAATTCAGATAAAATAGAAATGAGCCATAATTTGCAGGAAAAAATGGATGAACACTTCAGGCAAAATTGTAGTTGAATATATTTAATTCCAAAGAGTATATTTGATAGATGCTAGTCTTAAATTTATAATTTCTTTTGACATAAAGCACACAACTGCTCGTATATATGGTGGAAAGTAAGAGATCACTGGCTTCACAGTATTAAATTTCCTCTGCCTAAGGGCTATTGTTGATCAGACCATGAAAGTGAATGTCTGGTTATAATGTATTCATGTTTAAAAGAAAATGCTCGTGATACTGAAAATCTAAGTTCGTTTAACACTAAGTTTATAATTAAAAATGCATCAATCCCTTTGGTGCCCTGACCAAGATAAATGTCCCTGGTCAGCTTTCAGATTTTTGTCTAGCTTGACCACTATGTGGAGTATAAAATGATATGGATTTTTTTCGTGTATTGTGTATGCTTATACATATTTATATCCAATTCTTTTTAAGGAAAATTAAAGGTCTCTAAACATGGTCATTAAAATGTATAATATGCTTTAGTTTTAGTATTTATTTTTGGCATTTAGCAGCTAATCAAACAGTGAATGTACTGCAAGTTTTCAACATACTGTTGAGCTTCTGTGAATAATAATTACCATTTGACCCTTGGCTGTAAATGAGATGCCAGGTGAAGAAGCACATATGCTTGTTGTGTAGCCTAAATGCAATATAAAAGAAAGAGGGTACACTGTATATGAATTATGATTAGACACAGTTGGTTGCCGCCAGCGGCCAGCTATGCTTTCCCTTTGCTGTCTGCTCCAATTTCTCTTTGGACGGGTTGAGAGAGCACTGCATGTTCAGGTCAAGATGTTTGCCTAGAAATAGTAGTACAGTTGCAGCTGTGTTTGCTGGAGCAGGAGACTAGTTTAAATAGCATTACCATTTATCCAGTCCATTAACAGAACTCTGTAAAATAATACCAACTCTGCATAAACTACAGGACAGTGTAATAAAATTACAAGCACTTGTTGACAGATGGGAAGTGTAAGTACAGGAAAGCGATAGATTGAGAGTTTAAAAGACACAGTGCATAATTTTCTCTGTCTAAAGATGCTTGACTTTCAAAAATAATTGGTTGGATTAACTTTCAGGTTATTTTCTTGGAATATGGAAAAAACTAAAAGAAAACACCTGGTTTAAAAAAAAAAAAAACTAAAACGGATACTTCTGGTCAAAGCATAAACTGATTTCCTGTTAAGAGTTGATCTACCAAAGCTTTTTGGTGTAAATATTTCTATAGGAAGTAGTATGCTAAAAATAGTGTGAGGATGGCTCCAGGGTGTATTAATTGTATCTTGTGAGATATCTTTCAAAGAAAAATGCCTCTTAACCTGTGTGTTTTGACAAAGTACTGCTAATACAGGTGCTGTAGTAGATCCATTGGGATAATGTAAGTCCTTGTTCAGCAAGTATTTTTCCTGTGAGAATGGTATGTGTTGTTTTCAGAGACTCGTGCTCCCGCTCATGCTAACTTGTGTGCGCACCAGCAGTAATACCTTTAATGCAGCGAGCGATTACAGCCTACTGAGTACTTATCTGAGGCAAATGGATTTTGACTGCTTACTTTGGCTAGTTAGATCACAGTTCATTGACTGTCACTTGCTGCAGGATAGCAAGTGCTGGACCCAAGGCTCTTTGAGAATGTGGTTTTAAAAAATACGTTTATTAGAGGCAAGTAAAGGATACTGATTTCCATGCACAACGTTTGTCTCATTTGATTTAAATTTCCTGCACTTGGAATGAGGTTAAGGTCGCTTACTGACCAGTCTTTGTTTTGTAAGTTAGGCAATGTTGGTGGTGGAAAAAACCCAGTCTTACTAGCGGATGTGCTCCTACTCTTCTGGCGTATTAGACACTTTTTCTAATATAAATATATTTAAAAATAAATGTCATAAATAAAATATTTCTCC